TGTCTCACAGGAACACCGCATGATCTGTATGTGTGTTCTCTCCCTCAGTGTGTGTGTGTGTCAGGGTATTCCCAAGAAACGGGTGTTTCTCCACCTCAATGAGCGAGAATAATGAGTTGCTGGTCCATCGAGAGAGGGGACAACGCTTATCGTCTCGCCATTATTTGCCAATTAACAGCGTGTAAAATGTCTTATATGTACCCACCAGCAGCAACCACACTCATAACAGCCCTGTAATTTACTAATTCATTTTGAGGATTTGAGGTATTATTTGATGAGATACTTCAGCTTAGTAATTGGAAAGCAGAGGGGGAGGGCACATGCAATGATTAGCCAATTAGCTAAATGATGGAGCCTGGTAAGTCCCAGGCCCCTCCGAGTAAATGTGAGTGTTCCGGGGTTCAGCTGATGTTCGTCGACTTTATTCTTGGATTGCCACAACAAGGTGCAAAATCAAAGAGGAGTTCTTTGAATTATCTACTGTAAAAAGGCATTAGCAGGAGTGCTGAAGGGAGAATTTCCATTACAGTTGAGATTGGCTCCACTGTGGAGGCAACTTTCATTATCTTTTTGAGAGGTTTGCATCGGAAAATATCCTCTGGCACCGCCGTGATGATTTTTTAAAGAGTGCGTTCTGCTTTCTGCCTACATAGATAAATAAAATAGAAATGTTAATGAAACTTTGATTCAGTGATAGATTGTATTAGGCTTGTGGAAAGGGATCCAGACCATTTGCACCATAATGAACCCTGAAGCAATTTTTTCTATGTATTATTATTAAAATGGTATTGTACTTCTCTAACTATGTTTTGATGTCCTTCCACAGAACATGATCAAAGATAGACTTTAATACAGATTTGAATGACTTTCAACCTGCTTCAATGTGTTGGGGGGGGAAGTATGTGGTAGAGGTACTCCCTGGGAAGACAGGGATTTGCACACCATTTACATACACAAAAACCTATAGAACACACTACAGAGCATCATAGGGCCCCTTTAATGAAGTTAAAGTTGTCTCCCTCTCACCTCTCCTCTTGTCATGGGGGGGGGGAACACCAGGTGTCATTTGTTGATGCATTAGAAGCGAATAGAGCCAAATTGTCATAATGAAAACGAGATTGGAATCTTTTGAAACTGCTTCTAATCTCATCACAAAATATAAGATGGGCGCGGGGTCCAGAGCAGGGTCCAGAGCGGGGCTGGTCCAGAGCGGGGCCGGTCCAGAGTGGGGTCCAGAGAGGAGTCCAGAGCGGGGTCCAGAGTCCAGAGCGGGGTCCAGAGTCCAGATCGGGGTCCAGATCGGGATCCAGAGCAGGGCCCAAAGCGGGGTCCAGAGCGGGGTCCAGAGTCCAGAGCGAGGCCCAGAGCGGGGTCCAGAGAGGGGTCCAGAGTCCAGAGCGGGGTCCAGAGTCCAGATCGGGGTCCAGATCGGGGCCCAGAGCGGGGCCCAGAGCGGGGCCCAGAGCGGGGACCAGAGCGGGGACCAGAGCGGGGACCAGAGCGGGGTCCAGAGTCCAGAGCGGGGCCCAGAGCGGGGTCCAGAGCGGGGTCCAGAGCGGGGCCCAGAGCGGGGGACCAGAGTGGGGTCCAGAGCGGGTCCAGAGCCACAGGATGGAGCAGGTGTAGGGCAGCAGCTCAGACACAGAAGCCCAGACTAATCGTCACTCTGAAAGCCCGTCCACTGAGGAAACACCCACCTGAGTGACCTGACCCCAGAATAATGAAGCTGCTGGGTAGGTGGGAGCTGGGGAGACGCTGAGAACAGTAAAAGAGAAAGTATAGGGTTGGATTGTGTCAGTACCAAGTTTTGGACAATATGACATCAACATCGGACAAATCAGATACATGTCAACTGCAAGTACCAATATAGGGGCTGTGCTCTTTTGTGGTTTTAAGTCATAAATGGGGAAAAAGGGTGATTTTAAATGTTCATAATATGTTCACAGCTATAGCTATAGCTATATATGCCTTAAAACCGAAAATGAGTTAGCATTTTACCACTACCGTTTCCCTCGTCTTGAAGTACACATTTTTTTAAATGAGGTTGCAAGCTGAAGAGATTTTCACCTTTTGTTCTACGACATGCAAGATGTCAGTATATCAATTCACATATAGAATATTTGCAGGAATTGATGTTACATAATGACTTTTAAAGGTCACTCACTTCAAACTGGGGGGGAATATCTTCTACTTGACTATTTACTGATGACAACTTTAAGGGAATAGACAACAAAGTTGTCTGAGAAGTAATTGGATCCAAGAGTCTTCAGGATGAGGCGACCATGAATGTCTGTACACAGTTTATTTAGGAACTATCCAACAGATCAGAGGTCGCGTTAACCGAATATTTTCCGCCAATGACGGATTTTTTATAACAATGACGGAAAAATCTGAAAGCAGTCCGTCATTTTGACAGATTAGAACACAACTCGGAACAGCGTCAAAATGTCCACCAGCGGCCCACATTATATTACATCCTTAGTGGCCAGGTCGACTGAGGGCGATCTACTGTACTCTACTGTAGTCTGTAACTATTATTTAGTAATTCACACCCCTGTCCAGTTGGTGGCGAGTGTGTGTATATTAAGTAGCTATTGTCTAGTCTTGTTTTTGACCTCGTTGATTACCTCGTTGTTTAACCAGCTTTAGCAATCGCAAAATGTCACGGCAGCTGATCGTCCGAAGCTTTTTTAATAAGCCCAGTAATTGTGATGGTGTGGATAAACGAGGTGAAAAGAGGGATTGATGCGGTGGAGGATGAAGGACAAGCCAGTAAGACTAAAACTGACAACGTTCAGCCAGCGGCAGAGGGGCAAGCAAGTGGCAAGGAGTTCAAGCGGGAGTACCGGGTTCAGTGGCAGTGGCGGCGCCAGAGATTTTCTCTAGGGGGTGCTGTGGGGTAGCTTGACGTTTCATAGAGGGTGCTCAAACATTAAGGGTTTCCCATTAATGCACCAGCGCTACAGTTGAATTTTCTACTGCAACACTCCCCACACGCACACACAGTGTACCCGCGACTGTTACAATGAAGGCTTGGTAATCAGCTCACGGCATATAGGTGTAAGCAGGAGTAAAGTGCTATTTTTACAAGTGGTGTGTGGACCTCACCTCCTCTAGTGGGAAGATTTTTTTTTAAATATTGAAGTTAAAAGCATCAATCTGGTGCACTTTGAGAGCTAAATGAAGAGATCTATGGATATACTGTATCTCTCAACATACATATGAAACAGAACTGTAAACAGATTTTCTATTTCTTTAGATATTTTACAAATCACTCCCCTTTTAAAACAAACCGTTTGAGACCCACTGAGATAACTAGACTAAAGTTAACTATCTAAACACTGAGAGTCCTTTACTTCACCTGAGCTGAGGTTATCTGAGACTCTCCGTCTGACAGGAGATAGTTCTCCCTCCACCTTGTTGTTGAAAAATCTCCTTATATCCGTTAGCTTGGCTAGCTAGCACCAGATGCTAACCACAACGATCTCCGGTAGATACCCACCGGTGCGCTCTCTCTCTCTCTCTCGCTCGCTTGCGCACGCACACAAAATGGCTCGTGCCACACACACACAGAGCAGAGCTTGAATTAAACACAGAGACCCAGAAGTAAGCTACTTGTACTCACGAGGCCTATTATGTGCAGAATCCCTCTCGCTTTCAGTTGGTTTTGATTGAGTGTCCACATGTGGACGTTTAAGGACTAAAAAACGATCCATTTGTCACTTTGCTGTTAGCAAATAATATGGGGCTCCAGCTAACAGGAAGTCACTCAAGTGTCACAAAGTAATTTAGCCTATGGGTAGGTCAAAAATCTAATGGGTGCTGGCCATTGGCCTAATCATATCACCTGTGTTGGCTTTATGTTTTTGGTCAAACATTTGTTTGTTTCACATTTGCATTGATGTAATCAATAATTTTTCTGATTTAATTTAATTAAAAAAACAATAATAATTTTCGAAAAAAAAAAACATATTTCTTGGGGGTGCTTAGGGGGTGCTTTGGCAATCCTGGGGGGTGCACCCCCTAGCTCCCTCCTGGCGCCGCCCCTGTTCAGTGGGAGCAAGAGTTTAAGTGGCTGAGGAGGGAAGATGGCAAAATGTTCTGCGACATCTGTAGAAAAGCTAAGATGAGTAACGGATTTGTCCGAGGGTGCACGACGATGCAGAAATCAGCGTTCAGGCTACAGCAGGTCAATTGAGTTGTTCTTGTACATTTTTTGTTCATAGTTTGATTGTAATTGTCTCATTTAAAACGATGGCATTGTTCATATTTGCCTGTTTAGGCACAATGGTCGTGGTGTTTTTAGCGGCCTCTGCCCCCTCTGCTGTGCTGTCAGTGCAGGAAAAAATAAATCATTCATGTTCGTGTTGAAATGAAAAGTGACCACACGGTCGGTGTCTCTGTTCATCTTTTTTTTCTCCATGCCCTTAAAAGTTCTGTATGAATCATTAAAACATGAATGAATGAACATTTGCTGCTCAGTACCCAAACAAAAATATTAAATAGGTCTCATCTTATCATTAAAACATGACAAATAAAATGACGGATAATAATGGATTATGACGGAAATTTTACGATCCTGTCTGTCAAAATGACGGACAACGAAAAAGTCTAACGCAACCACTGCAACAGATGTTCAGTTATTTCAGTGTGGGTCAAAGGGGTGGGCAGCACAGCTAACATTCCCAGTGTTTATACTTACTTAACACTTTAAGGCCTATTTTGCACTAAACACTTTTTTTTTTTTTTTTTTTTTGGAAAAAGACAATATTTTTATTTTGACAGGCCTATTATTAGAGAATACAGATGTTTATTTCACTGAGAACTTCTTAAGGCTTCCCAAAATGTAAATATTGGCCTAGTCAAACGATTAATCAAACATTTTCCTACACATTCACTACTATAAAAACATTTAAAAAATCAAATAGTTTTTCTCTTAACAGAAACCAAATGAAAATGCAGCCCCATTCCCAAAACTGGGTAACCCTAACTCTGTTGAGATAACGGGACAAGTGTCAAAGAAGCAGTCGCTGTGTCTCGCAGGCGGGAAAGCTTGGTTGTGTTGAAAAGGAAAATGGTGAACAATGCAGTGGATTAAATGAGGCCTCCCGTCTGTTGTTGAAACATGTCAATTGTATCTTCATCTTCCATTTCCAACTGCGATGGTGTGTCTGTTTCATTTATTGGCTGTCCATCAAATCTGAACCCGATTTTCCTCATGGACAGTCCCTGTCGATCGCAGTAGGCCTTCATGAGTTTGATGAGCGGTGTGTGTCTTTTAATCTTGAACTGCACTATAGAGCCATCCTGATCTGCCACCTTCAGGTTTATGTGTTCGTTGGTCTCTGTCTTCACTGCTTCGGTGATGGCCGGCTCAACGTCCAACTCCTCCATCAGGGAACAGTATTATCGACACAATGAAATGTAAATAACTAAACTATTCAGCTATAAACACTCCACGCCATGAACTACAGGTGCCGTGCTGCTTACGTGCCTCGGTCATTCATCCGAAAGCCTATTTTGCACACTTGTTACAGTACCTTTTTTGTCTAGTAAGAATGCATTTGTACATTTTCAGGTCTAAAATGCTGGCACTGATAGGTGGCACAGTCTAATCTTCATTTGTCACATGATGAAGACTACAGTTGATTCGCATTACTATGGGTACTTGAACAAATACTGCTCAAAGTTATTTTAACTTTTATAACTGATCAGTCAGGTCTTAAAAAGCAAAGTTCTATGACTGCCAGCACGGTATGAGCTGCACCAGGCTTTTAAAGCAGCAATATCACACACTTATGGAAAGAGAAAAATGCTGCGTAGAGAGGAGATGGATAGATGGATGAAACCAACACATGATTTAATCTGACTGCTGTTTGAGTCCCGTATGTAACTAAATGTGGTTTCTGACATTATGTAACAAGCGTACCGATTTATACTATTATACTCACTTAATCTTTTTGTTGCTTGGACCTACTTAAGTGTTCATTTAAATTGTTAACCACATGTTAAATGCAACTGTAGTGAATTTGACTAGAAAAGCTTCCCAGTGATTTAAAACGTGGAGCCAAAGGGTCCGATCAAGCATCCGTACGTGACTAGAAATAAGATATAGATATACTACGTCATCGAGTGTCACCGAATGCTGGGCATTTAACATGCATTTAAACAGTCCTTCTGCGCCACTCGATGACGTAGTATACTTGAAATAGTGGCTCTGCAGCAGGTTTACTCGACATTGAGAAACGGCCAGTATCTCAATAGTTTACCCTTTAAAGTCTCGGTGGAACACCCCCACACACACACACACACACACACACACACAAACTCATATGCTTGTGTTGCCCAGGGCAGCTCAAACATGTCAACAAGGATGTTTTGGACTAGTTTCTCCCTCTTTAAGTAGGTTAAGGCCAGTGTTCTCACCATTACTGTGAGTGAACAGGATGAGGAGGAAAGCCTTCCTCCAAACACTTTAACTTGTTTACCGCTGAACCCTTTTACGACAAGAAGGTCTCAGTGTATGCTGCTTTAGTGTCCATTTAACTGTAAATAGAGCCAACTAACACCATGCTGTATTGAAGAATCATGTAAAATAAAGTTTGAGACAATGTTTACTTAGGTAATAAATCCAGTTAGACATAGGATAATTGTTTGTAGACTTGGGATATATATCTGCATACAGTGGAGTAGCCCCCTGCTGGTCATTTGAAATAATGCAGTTTTAAGGCTCTTCGTGGACCTGTAAGTCCAAGAACCTGACCATTAATTCGTTTTTAAAGAGATAGAATCAAATCGGAAAGGGGAGTTGTGATTCTTTACTTTTATTATCACTAACCATGTCGCTTGTGAAAATAAATCTCAGTTTGCAGCATTCAAACTCATTTCCTGCAGGCTTTTCCTCTTTGTAATGCTCTGCTTCTCAGCTCCAATTGGTTATCTTTCTCTCATTCCATTTCTCTTCTGTGCTGTCCGGGCACGTGCACACATAGACATCAAAGTGGGCTTGAGCTCCTGCCTTTTTTCTTCCTCCAGAGAAAGTGCCCTTTTTTGCCCCTTTTTTTTATTTTTATAATTGAATATATATCTACTGCTGTTTGCGCAGCGTTTCCCTTTCCAAAAATATATTGATTGAATACAAAATATCATGTCGGGAGATTAGACTGTGAAGTTCCGATGCTCTCTCTACCCTCCCTCCCTCCCTCCACGTCTCCTGCACAGCGGTGCAGACATCGGCAGTCCCTTCACACAGACAGGTAGCAGCACCTCCCACTTTACTGTCCCATGTTATGCCGGCTTTTCTTGGCTTATTTTGAAGGTGAGTGGTGATGAACAAATGACTAAACTGCCAGTGCCTCGAGTTTACAGCTAATTAGCTAAAAGACAAAAACAAATATAGTTAACTATGGTATGGCTACTAGCTAATGGATAAGTTAGCTCAAGGTTTAGCTAAGGCAATTTATCATGGGCATACAGGCTAATATGTACTTAAGGGGAGACACTTAAAGTGAATAGAGTAAAATGTGTATCTAATAACGTCATCACAAACGCCACATTGATATGCAAATTAGGCGTTAACTAGGCTTAATTAAAATACGCTAATTTGCATGCAGTTACCAAGGCATTGCAGGTGAGCACCCATCCCCCAAAATGTCTGTGCACGTCCCTGGTGCTGTCCATGTTCCTTAACACTGCTAATAAACATGCAATACCACACATGTACCAATCAAATGTACTTCCAGCCAGAGATCACAGCACCAAGTTAATAGCACGCGAGAGGCCATTCATCTGAGAGGAGGAAGTCAAGCGATACTGCAACAGTCAAAAGAATGACTTTTAGGATACGTTTTCTGTATACTGAGGAGTGAGAACCTTAATGAAAGTGGCTGCTTCGCCTCTGCTGCTACAGCTTTACCGAATATTAATAACAATGTTACATGGAAATGAAAATCGTAGGAACAGCAACCGAGCTGTAGATCTGTTCCCTGCTGGCCTGTCATGTGACCTGGTGCTTAGGATTAATAGAGGAAGATGAATTAAAGGAAATTAAATAAAATGTAATTATGCAGCAGGAGAGGGAGGGGCTTCCTGTGCTGATTGAAAGCACATTGCTTCACTTTATCTCCACTTCCTCTCAGAGTCCGGGGTCAAAGGTGACAGATAAGTTAATATGGCTGGTAATGATACAGAAGCAGACAGTGGCACAGTGGAGGCATTGTTGAGTCACACAGATAACATAGAAGCCAGTGGGAGATGAAGCAGAAATAGCTCTGTTCTGTGTATTGATGAAAGGGGGGGGGGGGGGGGGCAGGCATTCTTCAGCTCTAACGGAAAAACACCAGCCAACTGTGAAGTCTGATAATGACCAAAAATGAGTCAATATTTGAAACTCATTTTGTGTTCTGATGATGTCGAGAAGATGGCCGTTTCACAGCTCGCTCAAACATTTCCCTTGGAGGCAAATCTCTGTCATACTGTCACAATAACCTGTTTCCTCCCAATAGTGATTTCAGTTTAGAATCAGAATCAAAATACCTTTATTTAAATAAAAAATAGAATTTACACAAATTACGATTTACAAATATACACATCCCGGTGAAAAAGTACCAGTCACAGTGTCTTTATAAAAAAATAGTGTGGCATGTAGAAAGTAGTGTGATAGCAGCCAGGTAACAGTAGTGAAAGTAAATGTATATATTGCACAGTTGTCCACAGATTTATCAGTAGTTTAATTGTCTAATTACACAAAAGCAGCCAGTTATAATAATAAGAAGAAGAAGAAGAAGAAGAAGAAGAAGAAGAAGAAGAAGAAGAAGAAGAAGAAGAAGAAGAAGAAGAAGAAGAAGAAAGTGGTATTTATTAGACATAAGTGATATTGCACAACAGATGTTTTATAGTCTTTGTTGTTGAATGTGTTTTTTTAATTATATTTATGTGTCCATACTGACTATGAGTCATGCTAATTTTGCACTCTTTTTAAATCCAATTGTGAAGACTGATGATATGATATCAGGGCCATCAGTGTGACATAAATGGAGCTTCAACTCAAGTCTGTTGCTACACTTGCAAGGCGTACTCGCACCATCATTTAGGTTTCTGTTCAGTTTTTTTATGCTATCATTTGGCATACAGTAAATAAATAAAAACACCTCGACCCAAGCACCCACATAATTCTGAAAGATAACTAATATTGTCACTTCCAACTCCTGTGCTTAGCTTGGTGTATCATTGAAGTCAGAGCCCAAAAATAGAACAAAAAATATACTCTCTACCTAGTCATTACGCCTTTGCAAGTCCTACTGGAGTCAACACACAAATTAGCCCTGTTGTGAAGCCCCCTGCGCTGCCTGAAAACACTGCCCCTAGAAGACTCAAAAACACTGGGGTGCATGTTGCATAATTCTCCTGATCGGAGTAGGTGACAGCAGGTGTGATCAGGTGGACACTAGTTACTTCAGTCAATTGAGTCACTTTAGAGCAGATAGACTGGCAGCAAAGTGTCTCCAGTACTGCTCAAGGTTCAAGGTTCTTTATTTGTCATACGAACATAGCTACAGAGTAGTTATATCTCTCACAGGCTCTGCCCTCTACTGGACTCTATGGGTACTACCCCTTGATCATATCATGCAAGCATTCATCCACTGAGACTTCTATAAACGTAGCCGGCCCCGGGGCGGGCCTACCTGAATGCGCGCGCATCTCACCGTATAAAAGGAGGCCTCACCTCCTGACTGTCATCCTTTTCTCTTCAGCGAGCAGGAGTGAACAACCTGAGCATAGACGAGAAAAAGAGAGAGCATGGAACCACTCCTCGAGCACCAGACTTGTCCGACATCCATCCATCCATCTTCTCCCGCTTATCCGTGGTCGGGTCGCGGGGGTATCATTTCCAGCAGAGAGCCCCAAACTTTCTTTTCCCTGGCGACATCAACCAGCTCTGACTGGGGGATCCCAAGGCGCTCCCAGGCCAGCGAAGAGATATAATCCCTCCACCTGGTCCTAGGTCTACCCCTTGGTCTCTTCCCAGCTGGACGTGCCTGGAACACCTCCCTAGGGAGGCGCCCAGGTGGCATCCTAACTAGGTGCCCGAGCCACCTCAACTGGCTCCTTTCGACGCGAAGGAGGAGCGACTCAACTCCGAGTCCCTCCCTGATGACCGAACTTCTCACCTTATCCCTAAGGGAGACACCAGCCACCCTGCGGAGAAAACCCATCTCGGCCGCTTGTATCCGCGATCTCGTTCTTTCGGTCATGACCCATCCTTCATGACCATAGGTGAGGGTAGGAACGAAAATGGCCCGGTAGACAGAGAGCTTTGCCTTCTGGCTCAGCTCCCTTTTCGTCACAACGGTGCGGTAAAGCGACTGCAGTACCGCTCCCGCCGCTCCGACGTG